CACTCCCTGACCCCGGCTGGCAATTTATCGAAACAATGTTCCAAAAGAAACATCTGCAGCACCTCTTCTCCGGACACAGCCTGGCACCCCGCCATCCAGTGGGCGGCTGTGCGATGCACCTTACATGCCCATTCCACGTATGAGTCCCCAGAGGTCTTGACAGTGTCTCGGAACCTCCTCCGGTACGCCTCAGGTGTAACGGCATACCGGGAGAGTAAAGCTTCCCTGACGGCCACATAATCCCCAATCTCCTCATCAGGAATGGCCCGAAAAGCCTCGCTGGCCCGGCCTGATAACTTGCCGGACAATATAGTAACCCATTCTTCCAGGGGTACCTTGTGTAGGGCACATTGCCGCTCGAAATCAGCAAGGTACCCATCAATCTCTCCTTCTGTTTCACTGAAGGCTTTAAACGCAGTAAACGGTACCTTTTTCCTATCTCCCGGGTTTGCTGTGACTGGGGCTGCTGCAGCACCGCTTTGGCGAAGCAGGTTGGCCTCCACAGCTGCCATGACCCGGTCAATGGTTTCTGTAGTCGGGTTGGGACCATAATGTGCCAGCCTGATTCTTACCGCCCGGTCAAAGCTTGCCTCCTCGGGGGTTCTGTCAGCTGCGCTGGGTCCATTGGTTCCCTCTGCCGCTGGTACTCCATCCATTTCCAGCAATAACGCAATAATATCCCTCTTCCTGAGGTTACTGGCTTGTCCCCCTCTTTGCTCCAATAAATCCTTTAGGGTAGCCCTCCTCAGGTTTTGGTATTGTAATTCCATTTTTAGTCCTGGTTGTAGTGGTCTCTTTGGGCGTTGAGGATCATCCCACCGCTGCCACCAGTTGTTACGGTACCTCCAGTACTGAAATGTACAAACCGCCGTTTAGCGAGTATTCCCTGTTCGCAATAATGTGGTCGGGTAGCGGGTATAATAAAACCATGCGAACCGCCAGTCAGGGAACACTCCAAACTCCCGAACGGTACCTGTACGGCTAATTCCCTTCACGAGCTGCAAATCCACGAACGGCAATTAGTAACCGAACGACAATATCTCCCAAGCGGCAAATAATCCAAATAAGCAGTCTCTCGCCGCTGGTATCCAAATCCCCCCAATAACGAGACCAAGCTCCGCTTTGAGGGTAAAACACGAACTGGTTTACTGTGGGCTACCTGCCCGGTATTTATGCAGGTCTCCCACTTGGTGGACACTCCCCTAGGGGACCAAATGGGAGACTGAAATCACAGAGGGACATGGGGACATTTTGGACATACATCCCCACAATATTCCCAGCATGCATCACAGTTCCCTCCCCTCTGCTCGAGGGATAATTGGGAAGTAACTCAATTATCTCCCCGAGCAGAGGCAATCGCCATTTTAAACACAAGTCACAAAAACACATGAAAATCCATAACTTCATAACTGCCGAACATATTACATTCGTATTGCATATCCCCAGATAGCCTGGATCTGAGGGCACATTATTGAAGAATAGCGCTCAGATCCCATTCGCACAGTTCAATCGCCATGGAGTCAAAGTCTCTTTCAGTTCGTCGGTATGCGATTGACTCCATGGGACGGCTATCTGGGTTAAGTCCATTCGTGTGGTTGAATCTCCCGAACGGCTGGCATTCGTATACTTTTGTCGATTGAGAAGGGGAGGTCGACGGCTTCAGCGGTGTTCGGCTGAAAAAGTGTCCGTTTTCCGATCCATGAAATAATCGTCGAACACCGCTGGTCGTTCGCATGGACAAAATGGCCGCCGCCTCGTGGTCGACATACGAACGACGACCACCCGGCATTCGGTTTTAATTGAGAAGTGTCTGTGGTTAACCGCAACGTTCTAATTGGGATCAATAGGTTAACCAGCAGCACACTTCTCTTCTGGGTGGCCGTCCGTTCGGTAGTTCCGTTCGACAAAACCGACATTCCCTTGAATAAAGCATACGAATGGGGAAATTCATGTAACCGGCAAAACAGGCGAACACAGCATTTATAATCCAGACAGATGGGTCTGTCACATGTTCCATTTAGATTTGTCTGAATTGTTTTTCCGTAATGTTTTCTTTGATGGACGAAAAGTTAAATTTTAGTCTCATCAGACCAGAGCACCTTCCTCCATACATTTTGGGAGTCTCCAACATGCCTTTTTGAAAACTCAAAATGTGCCATTTTGTTTTTTTGCTGAAAGTAATGGCTTTCTTCTGGCCACTCTGCCATAAAGCCCAACTCTATGGAGCGTACGGCTTATTATCGTCTTATGTACAGATACTCCAGTCTCTGAACTCTGCAGCTCCTCCAGGGTTACCTTAGGTCTCTGTGCTGCCTCTCTGATTAATATTAATGTCCTCCTTGCCCGTTCCGTGAGTTTTGGTGGTCGGCCATCTCTTGGCAGGTTTGCTGTTGTGCCATGTTCTTTCCATTTGGTTATGATAGATTTGATGGTGCTCCTGGGGATCATCAAAGATTTGGATATTTTTGTATAACCTACTCCTGACGTGTACTTCTCAACAACATTGTCCCTTACTTGTTTGGAGAGTTCCTTGGTCTTCATGGCTGTGTTTGGTTAGTGGTGCCTCTTGCTTAGGTTTTGCAGCCTCTGGGGCCTTTCAAATAAGGTGTGTATATGTAATGACATATCATGTGACACTTAGATTGCACACAGGTGGACATCATTTAATTAATTATGTGACTTCTGAAGGTAATTGGTTGCACCAGAGCTTTTTATGGGCTTCATAACAAAGGGGGTGAATACATACGCACATGCCAATTTTCTCTTTTCTATTTCTAAAAAATAGTTTTATGTATATATTTTTCTCATTTCACTTCACCAACTTAGACTATTGTCTTCTGATCCATCACATAAAATTCAGATTAATAAAACATGGAACTTAAGGCTGTAATGTAACAAAATAGGTAAAAGGTCAAGGGGGGGTGAATACTTTTGCAAAGCACTGTAATCTACCACCCGACATTGCTTTTAATCATATTAATGTATATTGATAATAAGAATTGAAACTCCAGAATAAAGATATAAGAACTTTTTTTCCATTTTAATTAGCCTGATATATTATTGAAAAGACACAGTTTCAGGGGACACATCAACATGAATAAGTAAAACTATGTTGCTCTTTTCTGCTTTTACAGTTATAAATGATACAAATATCATATGACTCAAAAAGATAGGGTTATACACTTAAGCGTGAATTGCTTTAAATTTCGCCTTTTAGACAAAAATAGCCAAAACCCTAGCTGACTTGGAGAACTATTCCTTTATGCCAATTTTGGCCTAAAATGTAAAATTCACTTTGATCAAAAACTTTCTCTAACAGCTATTTTCCAAGCTTGGCTATTTTCGCCTAAAATATTCAATGTCTTGGTCAATTATCACCAATTCCAAATATAAAATAATAAACCCCTTTGATGGTACTAATCATTTACGTGTGTGCTTTCAGAACAAGAACACTGGAGCAAGGACAACCTGGGACAAATACCGCAAGAGGCACTAGAGATCAAAAGATCCGCGGAACTCATTGTAACTGGTGAGCCAACAGACCAACCAGCCAACCAAACTCTCGTGATCCATGGGGAGAGCTGTCCACATAATTTTAGCAGATACCTAATAGAATTTGTACATCTAGAGCTTATTACTGAATGTACATGCAAATTGCTTATAGATTACAATTACAAAGGTACAATTTGACGTCACTGTCCAGTTTAATTTTTTATTTTAAAATTGTGTATTTCATAGACAAATTGTAAGCTCTGCACTCAGTAACTCTTGATGTCATTTGATGCTGCAAACAGAGGCTTTCAAAGTATTAAAACCGACTGGGACTACACAACGTACTTAAAAATGTGTATAATAGACTTTGGCTCTCCTTTTGTATACAAAAATAAACGTACATAGAATTTGTAATATAAACTGTTTAACTACAAAGAACATTTCATTTCTTGTATTACATAAATATGTGTAATCTCCCTGTTCGTTCACTTAAGGCTTTCTCTAAGCAGATTCCTCTGTCCTCCTCCTCGACCTTACTGACAAAAAATAAATAAATTCCCAGGCCTATAAATATCTCGACTTGTTTATTATCTCTTTACCGTAAACCTCTGAAAACACATTCATAAAAAAAAATGTCATCAGACAAACATACACATGAGGCGTCATGGGCATTTTCTCATAACCCTCAATAATTGTTTCTTTTTCAGATAAGGGTCCACTGAATTCCACTGAATCTAACCCTCTCTTGGTTCCCCTTTCCTGCCTTTGGAACTAAGGTGCCAGGTTTCAAGATCAAATCAAATGGTGCTGCTGTTTTCTTCAGTGCTGATAAAAGTTTGTCTGGTGCCAAAGGTCATGCATTTACCCTTACTATGCCAGAATTGGGCAAGTGGCACCTTTCTTTAACATTTGTCTGGTTACTTGTTTGCTTACAAGTTACTTCCGGTACGGAGGTAGCAATTAACAATGAATTGCTTCACACAAACTCTAACGATTACAGAAATCCTTGTTATCTATGTATTCTGAATGCCAGAAAGGTCATTTTAGCAGAAACACTTAACTGAACAAGTCAATCGAAATCCCAGGGGCAGCTCTCTGTTCTGTTAATATGACTCATGCCTTAAAAAAATACATCATGTACAACCAGGAGGGCTGCATGGAAAGAGATGTGACATTGTTTTTCTAAATAATAATAATTTATAAATATTCACACTCTCTGTTGCCACCACAGAATCATGCCAAAATGGTCAACAGAGGGAAATAACCTGATGTCACCATATCCTTTCCTCTTAATTAAGATGTTGGTGGGGTTATCCAGCTCAGGTGGATTTTATTAACTATAAATGCATTTTTCAAAATATTTTCTATGCAAGAGATCTTTCAAAATGCAACCAGCCTTGCAAAAGTGTCAATGTACATTAAGTTAAATGAAGTTGTAATATTATACACATTAGACCTCTCATAGCGAATTTAAAATGTGAAGTTCTATTTTTTTGACAAGTTAATGGCTGATAATGAGGAGTTAGGAATATCGAAGCAATCATAGTTCCACAATTTTAATAATTTTCAAAAGCAATTTCTACCGACACTCAACATTCAAGACCACAATCCCATCATAAGGAGTTAGTGACACTTTAATGGACCATCGAAAATATAGCAAATTTAGAACTTGAAAACTCTTTTTTACTATTTAATTAATACCCCAAAATATTTGTGACAGAGCAAGTGCAGAATGGGCACCACAAACAACTCCTTGACTTGACTTGTACAAGCAATAATAAAGGGACACTCTAGGCACTAGAACCACCGGTGTGACTGTCAAGCCAGGGGAATAAAGACATGTAAATACTTACAGCTGTATTTGCAGTGTCAATGGTGACTCTATCAAGTGCTGACTCAGGGGAGGGGAAAATACATGTGCAATCAACAAATGTTTAACTTCTGTATCACAGCAAAAACAAAAATAAAAATTGTACTTTCAAAGTGCATTTAATTCCAGGCTGTAAATTTGCAAACATTCTTTGAGGTTGAATACTTATAAAGGTGCTCCACAATCTTATTTCTGTATTGCTCAGTTATTATTAGTATGCTTTCAAGTACCAATGCAGTCTTTAGAGCCTTTATTCTACATTTGACATATCTCATAATTACTCTTGTAAATAGTTTTGCAGAGCCCCGTAGAACACTGGGGTTTTTGTAACATTGTACTAAAAGTACTCTATAGGAATTTCACGATAGATATGCTTTTAGGAAGGTGTTACGACACGTACCGTCGGGTAGATGAAGCCGCCGTTTAGGCAATAATCCCCTTCTCCAGAAATGCAGTTTAAATCCAGCCGATCGCCAAACTCCCGAACGAAGTCCGCGAACACGGCAACTCCCGATCAGCCAAACAGTCGAACGCCTTCCACAGCTAGAAATAACGAAAACGCTGTCCCAATAATAATTCCCCCCACAAACGAGACCAAGCTCCGTCTTGAGGGTCAAATGAAGATCTGTTTAATGGGGGCTACCTGCCCGGTATTTATGCAGGTCTCCACAAGGTGGACACTCCCCGAGGGGACCTTGTGGAAGACTGTAACACATATTGGACAGTAGCCAATCGCAGTGGCTTCAATAATAGCCCTTCCCATCTTGCCCATAATTCCGTCTTCTTTACCTTGGAGATAATTGGGGAAGAAACCTAATTATCTCCCAAGGTAGAGACCATCGCCATCTTAAATTACAGTAACAAAAAGACATTAAAATACATAACTACAGAAATACTGAATGCATATGGTTCGTGTAACGTATCCCCAGACAGCCTGGATCTGAGGGCATGTTTTCACCGAATAGCGCTCAGATCCGATGTATCTAGTCGAATCGCCATGGAGTCAAAGTCTTTCACCAGTCCTTCGGTATACGAATGACTCCATGGGATGGCTGTCGGGGTAAAAGTCCATACGACTGAATAAAACTCCCGAACGACCGACGTTCGCATGCCTTGTCGAAAAGGAAGGTAGGCAGCAGCTTTTCAGCGGTGTTCGGTAGTTTAAGTGTCCGTTTTTAGTTCCATACAGTTTGTACCGAACACCGCTCTGTGTTCGTATGTCCCAAAATGGCCGCTGCCTCGTGGTCGACATGCGAACGACGACCACCCGTACGAATGGAATGGAGAGGTGTCTGCGGTTAACCACAACGTTCTAATTGGGGCCAAGAGGTTAACCAGCAGCACACTCCTCTCCTGGGTGGTCGTTCGTTCGGTAGTTTCAATCGGCATTTTGCAAATACACGAACGGGGGTATATGAACAGGCAATTCCGCGAACAAAGGGAAACAGACGAACCAACAATGCAGATGAATCTGTCACAGAAGGATTATAATACTACCCACATCAAAAATAACCAAGCTTAGTCTTCCTTTTTAATTATTTGCCCAATTACCTGACTCAGGGTTTTCCAACTTTCTGACTATATAGGACCCCTAAACTTTATTTATTTTATACAGTCTAAATGGAATATAAAAGATATAACTTTACACTTTGCTCAATGTGGTTAAATCTTTGAATAATAACATTTGTACTTTTGTCACTAAAAACGGCACTCTCACCATCAGAATTTGCAAAGACCCCAGCGGTGACATCGCTGCTGGTAGTTCGGTGGCCGTGGGGGGCAGGCAAAGGTGGAGTCTCAGTGCCAGGAGGCAACGTCACTGCTGTACTCTTGAACATGTGCGAGAATACAGCATTGAGGTCTATGGAGAATCCCGCAACACCTACGCAACACTTCGCAATCCTCCATAGATAAAGCCATTTCCCTCAGGGTAATGACACCAACACTCTATCGACACAGATAACCTCTACACACATTATTACAATGGATTTAGTTCCCACTACTATTAGAAAAGACATTCTGTAAGGCAAAGACATTAATTTAATACCATTGTTATTGCCTCACGCCACATAGAAAACAAAGCATACTGTTACAGAGACATGTCTGCAATCCTAAAAGCCAAAGACCCCAGACTAAACAAGAAACAGACGATACCAGAATTTGCATTAGCATTTCGGGCTATTTAGGGATGCCATTTGTTCCACTTCCCTCCAACCATAGAGAAGAACTGGATTTTTATCTACAAACTGCAGCCTTGGCATACGTTAGTAGTCAGTTATATATGGAATTATTCTGATGCCATTTCGCTGGACTCAAACCACCATCTTGTGCATTTGCACCTCCAACTCCCACTCTACCAATTTGTGTCCTAGTTTAACAACCACAAGTCAAGCTACTCCAGGTTCCAGCAGACCAGAACACAAAGGACTAAAAGACAAATTGGGCCAACCTATAGTGTTTCTTGGTAAGGCACAGATATGCAACATCTAAATGCAGGTAGCTACAGTTTCAGTACTTGAACCATCTGCTTCAGAGCACACGCGAAAACCATACGCCCAAATTGCTTATTCCCAAAACAATGACTCACCCCTCCACTCACTCTTTGTAATCACTGATTTCATGGAGGGTTTTCATACGTGTCTCATCACAATGCCCACAGGTACACTCAAGTGTAATAATCTGCAATCTGCCTTAAAAGATCAAGTCATAGTAGATACACTCAAACAAACCGAAATTTTGAATGGTTTCATGCTTGAGCCTTTTAAGCACCCTCCATTTACATGTTGGTGTACAAACCCCGTTGGCATTGGCACAGTAAAATACAACAATGAAAACCACATGATTATCGATCTCTTGGCTCCTCATTCCATTGCCATACCTGGCTTAAATTTTCACTGCATTATGCCACAGTAGACAATGCTATACAAGCAATCTTGAAGACTGGAAGGAACAACATTTCCAATGTCTTCAAGTTGATTCCCATACCTCCATCTCTGTGGCATATGTGTGGCATCAATCGAAAAATACTATTTTGCCAACTGTCTTACGAGCTAAGAGCAGTCCTAAACTACTTGACAACTTCAAAGAAACCATCTGTTGGCTCCTCCTGAACCTCTGTAATTGTCCATAGGGGAACCCAATACCATTCCCCAGAGCATCAGTAAAACCATTGCTCTATTTTATATACTATTAAATGGCCCACCACTAGTTTCGTATTCTCAGGCATATGACTGGACTCCATAGCAATGTTGTCTCCCAACAGACAAGATTCAGCGTATCAGGAAAGAGGTAGAATCATCCCTCCAATGGAACTTGTTTACGTACAGTCTCTCCTTGGTTTGCTGAATTTTGCTATGCGCATTATTCCACGAGGGCACTCTTTCATATCAAGGCTACTCATTCTGTTGACTGGTTTAAATAACAATGACAGCACAGTTACACTTGATTTACATGCTAGAGCAGATCTGACCATGTGACAACACTTTCTGTTAGACTGGAATGGCAAAACCATGTTCATCCCCCCATTATCTGTCGATTCCCTGGTTATCTGGACACAACATGTAAATTCATCCTATATGTTAGGACACTATCTCTAAAACTTGGCTGCGACCCTTCATGATTTCAGGCCAATTATTCCGAATTGGGGCAGTCTCAGCAGCGTCTAGTAAAAATCCTGTACACATATTCAAAAGACTAGGATGTTGGAAATCTGCTGCATATAACAGATACATCCCTCAGCCAGAAAGGGAACTGAGACAAGTATTTAAGGAATTGGTTATATAATGTTACATGTATTAAAGTTTTATGCATTGTTCAATATTTTTGCCCTCTTTATTTACAGGCCTATGTGACCACGGCACACCACAACCTACTTTCACCACATGCAATTTACACTCTTTCCTTTCT